AAGACACTCTAGGATGGGTCACAGAGGAAGAATAAAATGGACCCAAGAGCTAAACCCTATTGATTTCTTCAGAAGGAATCAATTTTTTTCTGTATCCAGCCACTGTTATTTTTTATTCCATTACTAAGGACCTATAAGAAGTTTATCTTCCTCTTAATTCCCGGTGACCTTTGCTGATTCACAAATATTTTTGTCTAACTAGTAAAAACACATCTTTTAACCACAGGATTATTTTTATTAAATTAATACTATTCTGTTTTAAAATTAAAATATTAATACTATATTAACCATTTCTCTAGTCTGTGTTTATGTTTTATATTATTCTGATGAGCTTTTTTAAACTTATTAATCTTTGACTTCTGCCAGTACCCAGTAGGCCCAAATCACTGGAAACTTAAAGCAGCAAGTTTAACTTGTTTTCTGATTATTAATACAAAAACTGTAGCAAAACAAGGAAGTCTTTTAAAGCATTTATCTTAGTTAAATAATTTTTAAACATTTTCATAATTATCATCTTAACATAAAATATTTTTTATCCAAAAATCCTAGAGCCAAAGAAAAAAAGGCAATCCAATAACAGGAAATAATTGTCATGTTTCACCTTTTAGTTATTTAGCTTAGCACATGGTGTACCCTATTACACTCTTAAAGGAATAATTTCTAATTACCATTTGTATATCTCAGAAATGTGTGTGTGTTAATGTTAATTACTTCCCCATATCTTGTCTCAATAACCCCCATAGGAACTGATTTCTGCTTTCAGAATCTCTAACACTTCTATTTACTGCACATGATTAGAAAATGTATATGAAAAGTCTCTCTCAGGTGACAGCCATTTGCCTTCAATTTTAGGTTATTTTCTAAATGGTTGTTTGTATATGTTCTAATGCACATCTGGTCTAGTCATGCAGTCATTTATAAATAACACATCGTATAAGAAAACAGTATTTTTACAGAATGGTAAGTAAAACCTTTTCTTCTTTTCCTGTGATCTGTCTAGATATGTGAATGAAATATGCCTCCTAGTTACTCAAGAAAATTAATCATGAGATAGGCATTTCATAAGAGTATTGGCAAACACAAGATCACATGTAGATTTTATCTCTGAGAATTAAACAACACTCTTTTTAACACACCCATAACATCAGAATATCTATACATTTCTAAATGACAGTCTCCAGTCAGCTATATTTGCAAGGAGGTATCATATTTCAGAAGTTTGTTAAACCAGAAAAAGTCATAGCTCATCATTTCTGTTACCTTCTGTAGGCATGTAAGTACCCCTATCATAAGGATAGGAGTGTCCTTCAGAGATGTGCACATGCCTCCCTATTCCTATAATGGGGACATTTATTTATTTATTAGGCTTATATGCCACCCTTCTCAACAAAAGCTCAGGGTGACTTACAGAAAGAGACAAAATAATTGATAGGAACAGAGAGACTATTAAAATGAAATATAAAACAAAAACTCCCCAAATAATATCTCAGCTTAACCTTTGTTTGTTAAATGCCCAAAAGGAAGGTCTTACATTGCATCTGAAAGATACCAAGGCTTGGGCTCTGGTGGGCTTCAAGCGGGAGAGAGTTCCAAAGTTGAGGAGCAGCTGCTGAGAATGAACTTCCATGTGTTTTTTCAAAGCAAACTTGTCACTCTGATGATATTTGCAGGAGGTTGCTTTCAGTTGACCTCAGGAACTGTGGGGCATAAGGGCAAAAGTGGTTCCTTAGCTACACCAAGCTCAGTCCATTTAGGGCCCTGTAGGTCAAAGCCAGCACCTGGAATTGTACCATGGAAGCTATTGGAAGCCAGTGTAGTCTATGGAGCAATGTAGTTATGTGTTCCTGGTGACCAACTCCTGTCAGAAAGTAGGCTACCATGTTTTGTACCAGCTGTAGCTTCTAGATACTCCTTAATGGCAGCCCAACAGAGCACATTGCAGAAGCCTAGCCTTGTGGTTAAGAAAGCATGGATGATAGTGGCCAGATACAAACTTTATAGACTAACTAAATCAGAGATATATAGTCTTATGAAAGCTTATGCATCTCTGATGTAGTTAGTCGATAAGGTGCAATTCTACCCTGCCTTCTGCCTGACTTCAGACTAACACAACTAACTGTCTCTCTCAGATCCACATTTGACAGGAAGAGTTACAGCCTTCTCACCAGATGGAGTTGGTGGAAAACACTCTTAGCTACTGCTGCCACCTGAAGCTCCAGATGCAGTGAAAAATCCAGGGGCACTCCAAGGCTGCAAACCTGAAAGAGAAGGGGCAGCTGAACCCTATCAATGATAAGTCTCCCAGTTCAAGTCCCATCCTGTCCCCCTGAGGTCAAGTAGCCTAGCCACCACCATCACCTCTGTCTTGTTTGGATTCGGCTTCAGTTGGTTCACCCACATGTACTCCCCAACAGCAGCCAGACACTGGGAAACGACTAAGAGTGCAGAGCCCAGGACAGATGAGAAAAAGAGCAAGCACTTGGTGTCACCAACTGTGTGTCCTATTCATATTGCATAGGAGGCTGTATCAACATGCTGTTAACACCTCACTTCAAATGTCTGCATAATCTCTCTCAGCAGCCTGTATGTGTGTGCCTGTACAGGGCGCATGTACTCTTGCAATTATGGAGCATGAATAAACTGTGGAGCTATTGCTCCACAGTTTATTGGTCCTAGGTGCACCATTTGAATGTACACCGGGGAGCAATAAACTCCAGAGCAATAAGCTCCAGAGTTTATTCATGCATAGCACGTTGAGCTGGGGCAGAGCAGCCCTGGCTGGCAGGGAGCCTGGGGAACAGCCTGCCAGCCTGGGGCTGCTCCCCCTGGTTCAACATGCTGTGAAGGAGCTGGCTGGGGCACCAGGGTGCTTCAGTGCCCACAGCTAGCTCGCAGCTAGCTGAGGCAATGTCTACACATGCACTGCTGTGGAGCCTTTTACTCTGCAGTAGGATAATATTTGTATTTACAAGTACTTGTATTTACAAGTACTATCTTGCTGCAGAGTAAATGAGTTTACTCCATCCTAACAGAGCTGCATGTGTAGATCCCAAGACATTTACTGTGCAGCTAATTAGTCAACTGGTCAGTAAACATCTTGTGTAGATGCACCCACTTTAAACAAGAATGGCAACAAGATAGAGCTCTGGGGGACCCCACAGGAAAGATCCCAAGGTGACAGCAAACGCTTGCTCCTCACCACCTTCTGGGAACCCGGTTAGGAAGGAGTGAAATCAATCTAGAATGGTCCAGTATATATCCACCAGATCACATAAATGCTTTTTAGCACCTCACATCCAACTGTATCGAAGTCTATTAAAAGATCTAGTAAGATCAACAGGGTGCAAGTTCCCCTGTCAATCTCCAAGTGAAGATCACTGACAAAGGCCATGAGTGCAGTCTCTGTGATATATCTGGAATGAAAGCCAGACTGACAAGGGTCCAGGAATCCAATAGCTCCCAAATATGCCTGGAGCTGTCAGACAGCCAGGCATTCAATGACTTTCCCCCAAAAAGGGGAGGCTGAAAGTGGGGCAACACGTGGCTGGGTAGAGGCCCGACAATCACAGACTTAAGGAACGTCCAGTACCCTGCCCTCCCAGAGGGAGGCACTGACAACCCCTATTAGCACTGATCTCACTCTCCCCCAGCTGGCTTTTGCAAGCCAAGGTGGGCATGGGTCCAGTTCACAGCTGATTGCCCTCACCCCCTGAGTACATCCTCTGCATCAGGGCATGACAGCAATTGAAACTGATTCATAGAAACCAGACAGGACCAAGCTTCTATGAACTCAAACTGCAACAAAAGTGGTAGTCCAAGCCATGCTGGATGGGAGCAGTTTTGTCTCAAAAGCAGATAGAAAACTCATCATAGTGGTCTGGAGAAGACTTGACTTCTAGCCAGAGACAACTTAAATTAACTAGGTTATTCACTATCCAGACAAGTTCTGCCAGATAGCCCTTTGCAGATGCAATGGCAGTGCCGAAGAAAACCTTTGTCTTTGCCACCACTGCTATACCCTAGTCCTTTAAGGAGGATCTATGCCACAATCAGCTGACTTTGGCACAGATTGATAGCCACCTCCACTCTAATTGCTTACCTTCCTGCTTCAGCTGCCTTGTGTACTATGGAGATCTGAGGCACCCAGGCACTCCCTCCTATTTTGGTGGCACCACAGACCCCTCTGACAATTTACTTGATTAGGAGTGATTCTATTACCCTCCCTTGGACACTTTTACACTTTAGTCGAGCAACTCGCAGTAGGCTGTCACTTGCATTTTGGTCATCTACTAGGTGAAATAGAAACCTGATGGCTGTGCTTCTGGTTTCCTGACTAACCCCCATGCTGAAGCTGCTCAAATTTGCTTGGCTTCTCTCAGGAAGAAAGGTTGTATAAGCTCTCCTCCTCATATTCTGTGCTACACTTACTTTGCCCTATAGTTTCTCCACCAGACTTTTGCAGACATGTTATTAGTATATAGGGTGCATGCAATAATAGGACTCTGACTTTTGCAAGCAGTCAGATTAATGTATGAACCCAGGCAGGTATCTATGTGTGTGTGAATGTGTAAATATATTGTTTAACAAGATTAATTGTACATTCTGATCAAACTTTTCAAATAGATATAGGAAACATTCAACCCTTTTGCCCAGTTTAGAATGTGTAAAATTAAAGAGATCTATTGAATTTAAAGTACAATTTAAGTTTGTGCCATCTTTGGTTGTGGAAGTGGGCTAACCACTAGCTGCATTTGGTGAGCTGAGAATTCCCCCTCTGGGGAGTTGTCAGCTGGTAAAAAGCCAGCAGAGCCATTTCCTATATCATTCTCCCTCTATCTCAATGATATATCCATTGATAAATTAGGGCATGGCTGAAGTGTTGCTGTACTTTGCCAATTTGCTGCTGTCAGGAGGTCCTAACAGGTGGAGACCACTGCCAGCTGGCATGCATTAAGGGCTAGGATATATTGTAGTCTAATTCATGCTGGGATGGAGCTGGAGATGTGCACTGTGAAGAACCATAGCTAGCTCTCAGGTTTGCCCCTTTCCCATAGGCCAAACATATCAAAGGACAAAAGAAAATCTGATTATCATGTTTTAGAAGTTGCTTTTTATTTTTAAAGAAAAAAAAAGGTTGTGTTGAATTAAATTTGGTCCCAAATATAGGTTTAATTAAAAAAAAAAAAAAGTTCTACCCAAGCTTTTACAAAACCCAAGAGCAAAGGAAAATGCTTTCATGAAATGAAATATTAGTTACTTTATCACTATAGAAATCATGAAGATTTGGAGAACATCCTTTTCTCGTAGCCATTGTAATGCATGAAGCTCCCTTTTATCGATTGCAGGTCCTATAGATACCTCCTTTTTCTTCCTGACTTAAGTTTTTTTTTGTTTTGTTTTTTTGTTATCCTAGGGAGAAGGAGGATTTCCTACTCCTTGGACTTTTTTCTTTTCTTTCTCTGGGCAGGGTTGGAGTGTTGTTGTATCCGTTATGGCCCAGGACATATGCAAGAAGCAAGGGTTTATTTATGTATTTACTGGTGATATTTGTACAGTTGGTCCAGTAAAATAAATTATTAAAAATACCAAACAAGCTACTCAAATCCCTTCCTCTGGGTGACAGATACAGCTACAAAGAGTATGATAGACTAGGTAGAAAAACAGGCCACATTGCAAAGATATCTATTTTATTGGTCAAGTTTACCAGTTTATGTTTTTTGCTGCCCTATCCCTGAAGTATCCATGTGAGCTTTACAGAATTCTATATATTCTTATGGTTAGCTATCTACAAAATGGTGTTCTCCCTCATTCCAAGTAAATGCATCTTCTCTCTTTTCTTGTTGTTTTCTCTACCATTCAAAGAATTGGCAGAGAGCAATGTCCCTTTTAAAAAAAATGTAATCATCATTAGTTTCAATATATAAGCCAGGGTTAAAAAATAGACATTTGGGAAAAACCCAATCTGCTTCCAAGTTCATTGACTCATTTATTCATTCCCAATTTCTATAATAGGTATTTGGACTGACTGGTCTCTTGGATTCCAGTCTTGAGCAAGGAGTGGCTGAAAACACCTGATTCAGCTTTCCATGGTTATTAGAGAGGACTCTTTTACCTGGGTATCAATCACCGCACTTGCGAAGCTCAGGAAATTTCTGGAGATTTGATAGGATAGCTGCTGACAAATCCTGCTAACAATTAGTGAAACTTTATTTACTTCAGTAGAATAGATGCCCTTTACATCTGGTCCAACCCTGGTCCTGGATCTGAGAAATAGGACTGGAGAAGAGTTTAAACACTGACTGTTGTAAACATCTATTCTGTTGTTATTGACAGTAGCTGATGCTAATAACACTTTGGAAGATAGAGGAAACATCATGCTTAAAACAATCTCTAGCTATTAGATATTGGGATGAGACGTCATGGGGTGCAAACTATAACAGATTATCCTTCTTTAAGACTTTTTGCATTTTTTTCTAAGGCGTCCTATTCTGGGCAGAAAGGATACTGGAGTCTGTCCAGTATGGCCATTCCAATATTACTTAGACTATTTTTATGGAAAGAATATGGCTGATTGTATATAGGCACTATTTTATGATGAAATTCATTCTACCTGCATAAAGTTCAAGTAGGGTCCAAGTAAACTCTGTATGATATGCAGCTAGAGTGAAAAGAATGTGGATACAAATTTGGTTCCCTAAATACTCCCCAACACAGCCCACTGGATCTATATAAATAAGGGTCATAATGTGGGTTTCTGTGTCTTTTCCTCTTGTGCAGCTGCTTTGTTTGGCTTAAAGATTTGCTTACTTCGGAAGTTTACTTTGTGTAAAGTAACACTACACCAACTGGGGTGGGGGAGGTAAGCTAATTATGTAGTTTATCATAGGGTCAGCTGGATGGGCTGTTAAGGACCATCAGTTAACATAATGGGAATGTCTATACTAGGGAAAATGGTTGTTTTGAAACATGTTAGCTAAAAATTCTTAAACAACTGATTTTAAGGATTTAATTGTTGTACTTAAAATCTTGTTATCTAGTTCTTGAACTCTTAGGCTTCTACCTATGAACTTGACAAAAGAAATCTGCTCTTAAAAAGATTCCTTTTACTTAAGGGTCTTGATTCTTTATAGCAGTTGCTTTCTCAAGTGAAAATCGATCTGAACATATATTTTCGTTGACACTACAATAAATCCACCCCCCTCAATGGTTTTATCTGCTCTAATTTCAGTCATTGGATAACACAGAAAGAAATTCGTTGGAATAGAAAGTCTCGGTAAGTTGTGTTGCTTTTCTGATTAGTTTATCATAAAAGCACAGAAAAATACTTTGCCTTTATGTCCCTGCTTGTTTGACAACAGGAGACCATTATCCTGTGACAGCCCTCGGTCTCTTCGACAGCTCTCAAAAACATGCCGGCTCGTAACCAGATTACTGTCCAGATCGAAGCTGAGTTGCACTGACAGAAAGACTAGTTGGCTGGTGTCCTTTGAAGCACCCTCAAGCTGTGATAAGATAAGCATTATTTTCATTCTCATTATTATCCTTATTAATGTTAATATTAACAAGTATTGAATATATTATCTCAATTGCAAGGGATGTTTTAAAGTAAAAAACAACGGTATTCTACATAAGAAAGAAGAAACAGTTAACACACTGTAAAATAGAATATGTACACTTAAGAAAACACGGATCTAGTTTTAAAAATTGGTGTTTGGATCTAGTTTTAAAAATTGGTGTTTCAGAAAAGAAATCTTTGATTTGGAAAATGGACTAATTTAACCAAAACATTTGAGAGCTACTTGCCTAAGTATACAAGCGGGTGAAATGGCTCATATAATGACTAAACGCTTCTTTACACAGTAGTATGGTATGTTAAAGATGTATGAAGCAAAGGATTAGCTGAAAATAAGGACAGAATGATTTAAAGAAAAACAAAAGTCTTTTCGGAAATAGAGGCTATAGATCTTTGCTGAAACAGGCTCATTCCTCTCCCAAGATAAATTGTCTTGCTAAGTAAGTGTCATGAATGGGCAGTTTAAAGGAAACTCCCATTAATGTGACAAGCAAAATATTTCAAAGCTGAATAATAATGGTCATAAATAAGAAAATTAAAAACAAACAAACAAACAAACCCTCCCAGTGGCTTCCCGTGAAAAGAAAGCCCAGTTTTTGCGTTTCAAGTTGCGACGTCTTCATTTCTCCAAATTGATCTTTACGTTTGTCATGGCTTTTAGCAAAGGGCTCTGTGTTATCGTAATGTTGGCGTCAATTCAGAGGAGGTTTTTGGAGCGTTTGACGCTTCCTTTTCGACCAGCAGCTCAGCTGCAAACAAGTTGGTCTGTTTTTCCTGTATAACAAGCACTTCCCAGGCGGGTGCCGAGCCTTTCTGCACTACACCAACGTTTTGCCCATCCTGCAAATCACTGGCAAAGCTTTAAAACGATCCCAAAGTTTCTAAACAGGCGACTCTTTCCTGTGTCCCATGAAATGATGATCCTTGTTCTGGATCAGTTCCCCTGCATAAATGAATTTGGGGCCCTGCTACACTGTAGCTTGTGGGCAAGGGGAATGAATAAACATCGGTTAGACGCTTTCGTCAAAGACTGGCGAGGTTCTTTGAGTGTCCTTAGACCAACTCGGCTACAACCAAAAACTTCATCAGAGACTGAAAGATCGAAATTCTGTCTGTAAGCAAGGAAATTATAACCTTAGGCAATCGGACTTAATAGCACCGATGGTATGGTTCCGCATATACATACAGCTCCTGAGTGTGTATTCTAGTTTAATTGGTAGCCTTAAAATAAGGTATGGGAACCCCCTCTGGTCTGTAACTATTATTATTAGCCTTTGAATCCACCGAGCCGGTTTGGAAAGTGTAGAGAAATCGGAAACTGATTTGTGACGATCCTGTTATAAAGCAAGCAAGATTATGTATGCCATGCCATTACTGCCGAAGGAAACGGCAGCAGTTTGGTATTGGGAATGAAAAAAAAAAAAAAAGTGTTAGAAAATTTAAAACGACCCTTTTGGATAGGATACATCTTTTAACGTCTCCGTACCACTGGTTGATATTTGTATGCTTTAGAGCTAAAGATAAAATGGATTGCATTTGCCCTAGTCCCTCAGAAAATCTATCAGTCAGGACTACTTTCCCTTCCCCCGAAGTATTAAAATAAATGCATTGAAACATGAGTTAAAATGCTTAAATAAGAATGCAGACGATTAAATAAGGCATTCATTTAAAAATGATCTTCGTACTAGGTAAAAATGGGAAGAATTTCCATAGGTTTGTGGAAAGTCATTGTATCTATCTACCTATCTATCTAGAGATACAGAGAGAGAGAATATATATATTTGCGTAGAGTTTCATAATCAACCTACAGGAAACAGTCACAGGTTTTCCTTCAAGCACATATAGGACAGTAGTTTCAAAGTCTGGGAAACAAAGAAATAAGGGTAGAGGGTGTGTGTGTGTGTGTGTGTGTGTGTGTGTGTGTGTGTGTGTGATTCCATTAAGTAAATGGAACAATCATATATTATACATATGTCAGAGGAGAGGGAATGTGTTTAACCTTCCTATCCCATACAGGGAGCCTCATGTTTCTATGAAGGTATAATTGCTGCCAGCGCTTCAGGTTGCTGTTGAAAGCCGCTATTTTTGCGGTCGTCCGCGCTGAGCTTGGGGTGCTGCGCTAGCCCGGCTCCCTTAGGTCTTTCCCCTCCACCTAAGGCGGTGTCAGCTGCCGGCGGCTCTTTGGGAATCTCGCAGGTTCTCAAGCTGTCTGCGTGCGCTGAGCAACCGCTTGCCTTTACCTTTACCTTTACCTTTCTCCTGCTGTCAGCGGGCGGATCATTTCCTAAGGCGGGTCTGGGGAGAACCAGCTCCTGCGATAAACACACTTGAAGCTCTGAGGAAAGGCAGGAAGGGCTTTTCAGTGCCTGCGAGTCTCTGGGGTGCGGTAAGGAGGCTCTTTCTCTTCTCTCGCACTGAGAAGCAATCAGCCTGATGGACCTTTCCCGGGGGTGGGGGACGGGGACCGGACGGACTACCCCTCTGCTGCCTCCCCACCCCCAGCCTCCCTGCTGTCCTCTCCCAGGGACATCTCCTGTCTGCCCGGTTCTGCTCCGGGATCTCACGTGAGGGCTGGAGGAGGGAAGGGGTAGGAGCAGAACCAGGCTTGATTGACTAAGCGGAGGCTGCCCTGGCAAGCAAAGGGGAAGGGACAGCCTCACATCCCCCCACCCACTCCTCCAGGAGGGCGGTGAATACTCAGTCCAGCTGGAAGAGAAGGC